TATGGCAGCAATATTTTTAATAGCTTGCGCCAGCTGGACAGAAACTGCACAAAACGCATGAAAGTATCAGCTATCCTAGTGCGCGCTCTTACCTGTATATCGTGAACTTGCAATACGCTTGTCGCAAAAATTCAGTTTTTGAAAATTATTTTAACACTTCAAATCACTCACCATACTGCCCCTTACTTTTGTTCAGACTCAACGAAAAGTGGAAGCACTCAGAAGCTCCTTTTCAAGACAGCCCGGACAATTAGTGTTAGAATCCCACATAAGGACTACTGGGACGGCCCGCACGCCAGGCCTTTCGATCTTGGACTGCATGCTTCCAATCAGTACTCTTTGCCCGCTCGATGTATGTGCGCCACACCTTCGAAGGTCAGTTAAAATGGCCATTTACCTTCTCGTGGATACCACTAATTACATTCCCTAGTTGTATGCGAGGCCAGCAACTCCTCCGTCTTGTCGAATTTTACTTTCTCGCGCGGTTGCAATGTTGACCAGCACGCTGCTCATTTGATGGAGAATCTAACTGTTCACACGGTCACTAAGAGATACGCTAAGCATTTTCCGCTTTACTGCTCCGTTACAATCAGTGCTCATTCCAGCTTTAGCCAATGACTACGTTTTACATCCGGAAGTCATTGCCGTAAGTCAGAGTATAGATGCAAAAGAGCTTTTCAACAGTGTTCTCCCAACCCCTCACCAGCCTTTTCTTATGTAACCCATCCGAGAGGCCCTTACTGCGCTACGGTCTGTTTAAAAAAAAAGGCTGATGAACCTTTTTAGGTAGTCCACTCAGAAGTGGCGTATCAAAAAGTCCTGGTGCAATTGTCATAAATCGGATCCCGTCTTCTGCGTGATCACGTGCGAGCGCCAGTGTCGCGCTTACGATGGCTCCTTTGGATGCCGCATAAACACACTGCAAAAATATACATTTAATGATCAACAAATTCCATCAAAACCAATTGCTTAGACGCACTAAAGCAAATCTGGAAGAGAGACATTCGGAAGCGTTGTTCCGAGGTCAAGTCACTCCATGAACATTACGACCACTGACAACTTCAACTATCAACGATTTCCACTTCCAGTGGTTGCCTGAGAAGACAGATTTAAGCTTTTTGGCTCCCTGGGAATCTCGACACACCATCGGATTATGCCACGGATGGATTTGGATCAACAATTGACTCCATTACGACTGTACGCTAAACAGTAATGTTCAACACGCCCATGTGAAAAGAAAAAAAAAAATGAAAAAACTGAAGCAAGAGAAATGGGTTTTCAGGAGATCCACAAACCTTCCCAAAAAGCAAAATCAGCAATTTCTACTCAGGTTGTTTCCCAAGGTAAAACAGCAGGTTGTGACTGATTTTCAGTGAAACTCTGAGGTTCCATTTCAGGCATAAGCGATTTTATCAACGCAAATATGCACAACGAGTGAGGGTCAGAGACAACAGATGGACAAGCGCATTATTGAATTTAACTCAAAATAAGCGTAACAAGGCCGATAGTGAGATGATAACATTACATAAGCATCACAGAAAGCCTGGTATAATGCTAGGCAGCGCTTATTGTTAGATTCGACGAATGAACAATGGAAAAACCAATCCTTTTACGATTCGTGGTTTTATTTCAATCGCAAATTGGTATTAGAGCATGCAGAGAGGGCAGGGACGGTGGAGCTGGACGGGATAGTAGTGGGAACAACTGCCTGTGGAAGAACAATGGAAAAGAGACAGCTCGGCGCTTGATGCTAACGAAGCGAAGATGCCTCCGTCCCTCATGAAAGAAGAAATGTGTAACGATTTGAGCATAATTAACCAAAATCAGCTACTTCAGCAACAACCAAAAAGCAAGCTATTCGTTGATGCGGTTTTCAATCTCTCATCAGTGCTCCGGAATGAACGGTTGAGATTACCTGACCCACTTGGCCATCATAGGCCGCTATTGATGCCGTATTAATAACAACTCCACGAAAGCCCAAACTGTCCTTGTTTTTCAGTGCAAATGTCTCC